GATGCGATGCTACGATACGCAGCATGAAAGTAGTACGAGTCGGAGAGGAGGGGGGAAAGGACGTTAAGCAAGCATAAGCTGCTGTTGGGGGTTTGCGGACCTACTCAATTCTAATTTGCATACATACATAGTAACTTGACGAGGGTATGAGGGTTTGAGCCGCGGGGGGGGGGATGAAGTCATGCATACCACATTCCAGATCCTGCAATCTTGGAATCGGGGAGCGAAGGAGAGGGGATGTCCTGCCATGGAAACTTAAGGATTCGTTTCGGCACTCGGGATAGAATTACCTCGCTTTCCAAGTCGTGAATGAATATGTGAGAGAGGAGGGAGGGTTGGGCAGGAGGTTATTGGATCTATATCCTTAACGGGTTTGATCATCGGATCGGGAGACTTCAGGTTGTCAAGGACTTCGCTCACGTGGGTGGTCGATTATTGGTCGAAGGGGAGCTTAGCTCCTATCTGCCATGTTTTTGTTCTACTCTTTACCAAGGGTAGGTTCGGGCTCATGCGGAGATGATTCAAAATCACTCAGTCTGAATTCCGCCGAAGAGACTGATACGACCAGAAAAAAGGCTTTTATCTTGAATATTTCATTCAGTTGATAGCATATCAATCTTGATAAAGTACATGGTAGGAAAAAGAAACCGGGGCATCATTAAACTTGCTTGGTATCAAACAAGAGCAACAGTGGCAACAAAGCAAGCGCACGTAGGCAGGCATAGCAACAGGTCATAACAGCATCATTAGGTGTGAAAACACAAATGAAGGGATCGAGAGATAAAGCGAGTTCTTCAACTTTTCCCCAAGTTCTCCTCTTCTGTTTATGTCTTTTGCATCTCTAAGTGTCTCTCGTGCTGGATCAACTTAGAAACCACGCTGAGTCCCCAGGGTACCACGGTTGTCCAAGTCAGAGTCCACGCGGGGATCCATCTTGTTGGCCATGTCAGAGCGGTGGGGGCCGGCGGTGGCTCCGGTGTTGTAGCTGCTGCTGGCCATACCCTGGTGACGGGCACGGTTGTCAAGGTCGGAGTCGACGCGGGGGTCGGCCTTGTTCATCATGTTGGAGCTGTGAGGGCCGGCGTTGGTGCTGCCGCCGCCGAAGCCGGTTGTGGTGGTGGTGGTCGGACCGGCACCGTAGCCTGCGGCACCGGTGGAAGAACCGTAGGCACCGGAACCGGTGGGGGCTCCACCGTAGCCAGCGCCAGTCGAGGTGGTGGAGTGGTGGTGGGCAGCACGGTTGTCACGGTCCGAGTCGACGCGGGGGTCCATCTTGTTGGCGATGCTGGAAGAGTGAGGGCCCTGGGCGCCGCCGAGAGCTTCGTGGCGAGCACGGTTGTCGCGGTCAGAGTCGACACGGGGGTCGGCCTTGTTCATCATGTTGGAGCTGTGGGGACCAGCGTTGGTGCTGCCGCTGTAGCCACCAGCAGTGGTGCTGCCGCCGTAACCAGCGCCAGTAGTGCTGCTGCCGAAGCCAGCGCCAGTAGAGGTGGTGGAGTGGTGAGCGGCACGGTTGTCACGGTCCGAGTCGACGCGGGGGTCCATCTTGTTGGCCATGCTGGAGGAGTGAGGGCCCTGAGCGCCGCCAATAGCTTCGTGGCGAGCACGATTGTCACGGTCAGAGTCAACACGGGGATCGGCCTTGTTAGCCATGTTGGAACTGTGGGGACCAGCGTTGGTGCTGCCGCTGTAGCCACCAGCAGTAGTTCTGCCACCGTAGCCAGCTCCGGTGGTAGTGGAAGTGGGGTGAGCGCGGTGGTCACGATCAGAGTCGACGCGGGGATCGGCCTTGTTAGCCATGTTGGACTCGTGAGGGCCCTGGGCACCGCCCATGGCTTCGTGGCGAGCACGGTTGTCTTGAGAACGGCATGTCAGCAGGAAGTCTTTGTCGGGATGGTTTTGTTATGTACTTACCGGCATCACTGTCCACGCGGGGGTCCAGCTTGTTGGCCATCTTGGAGTTGTGGGGACCGTGGTTGTCGGAGGCAGTGTTCTCGGTCTTGTTCTCGTGGTGGTGGCCGGTGACCACGTCCTTAACCTTGTGGATGATGTTCGACATGATGGATGATTTCAATTGATAGATGGGGAGAAGTGATGTAGAAGAGTTAGGATGGTGTGTGTTCAGATGAAGCTTTGGTAATAGTGTTTGTTATGATATTTGAATAGTTGAAGATGTTCTAGAAATGGATTGGAGCTGAATTTGGGAGGATTATATAGCTTGTTGCCTGGGGGGGGAAGAAATGAGGTGGACAGGACATATGACGTAAGGCTACGTAGGCTGGGAGTCAAACGGGCCGTTGGTGAATACCACGCACCACCTTTACGAATTGAGCCTTGGTACAACTGTTTGTTTGACTTGTGAATTCACCAGAGGCCGACGAGGACATGACGTCGTGATGTGCTAATCGATGGTCAGCCCTAGATCGGCAGTTAATTAGTTACTCTAGTTTTGCATGTCTATCATCCCGTCCAGAATTAAACCCTCCAGGCAAGCCTCGACCCGCTGCGGGAAAGGGGGGGAGGGGGGAGTCTGGAGCAATTACGTGTGGGGCAGGGACAGCTTAAACTGGGTAGTCTAGGGTGCGTAGGAGAGAAATCAGCTTAGCATAGGAAGGGACCAAAGGGACCACCCACAGGGTCAATATTCTCACTACGTATGAGTACCTTACTATAGTTATTCACTCATACTTAGAAAGGCTGGGCTGGCCATCAAAAAGCCGGTTGCGCATTGCCGATCATGACTTCAGCCCAGCCGGCCCTTGATGTCGGCGGCGTATTCAGTGCGCCTGGTCATTGGTCCGAGCTGTCTGGCATTTGCGGGGGACAGCCTTGGATTGGCTGCTGCTGCGGGAATCTTGAAGCCGCTCCACTGCACCTTCCCCAATCTGTGTAAGCTCCATCTGGAAATCTCAACCAGGCAAAGCGTCTTTAGCTTAGTCATGCCCTCCTTCAACGGCCACTCTCCGAGCTTCATCATGGAACCGTAGGTCATCTTGAAGATCTTCATCAATTCTAATTATATCCCTTTGCCATATGTGTCGATCATGAATTCATTTCTTACAGCCATCCCATAACCATCAACTCGCCTGCTTACATCATTGACTATCCTGATCCAGCGGAAAGAAATGCCTATTCAACACATGCCACTTTCTCTGACTGGCAGCATGATGCAAGACATCCAGCTTACTCAGGACAATGACGAAAACCCATCACAGGGGCTGAGCTGTGGACTCATTGGGAACTGTGTCTTCTAGAAGCGCTTGGAACTGACAGTCTCGTGCCTGGTCTCCTTATGCGCAGTAGTCCTGACTGATTTTGTCTGGTATATGGCATGGTTAGGGAGTCAGGTGCGGAGACTCTATACTTGGGACTATCCGCAAGTACATAGTATGTACACATACTTGCGCTTTCGGCTGTCAAACCTTGATGCATGCTGCTAACGACAGTAGGTATCAGCGGCTGGACCCACTCTAGATCATGTATACAATTGCCCCAACTCAATTGCCGATGTTGTTCTACTTGTGCAAGATGTTCAAGTCAGATGCGAAACGGATGGTCTGTAGAAGCAACTTCTCAACATTTGAATCTCAACTGAGATTGTTGAGAGAATGTCCGATCATCCTAGCCGAGAAGACAATATCCGACTAACGCTGCTGTTTGACTAACTCTGAGGTTGTTGTTGTATATGCTCAACCTAGACACATCCCCCCCAATGCAGAGACCCCAAGAAAGCATAGAGAGTTTTGCCAACGACGGACTCACAGCAGACCGATAACGGCAGACTTTTGCTGTTCTTAACCCACTGATAGCTGCAGGGACGAAGGCTTTTCAAAAGACTTATAACAAATGATGCTTTCAAGCCTCCGGCTCGTCACGTGAATGCCTACAGACTCCCTTCAATTCTGCCTTGGCTCTCTTCCTTCGTTTCTCTTTTCTTCTTTGTGCTCGCGTGTCTTCAAACCCTGAGTGTTTCCCAAAGTCCACTCACCGCATCTTGGGATGCCTCGACAAACGCTTTCCGCAGTATCTATCACAAGACAACACATGAAACATCCAACGCTGAAAGCCTGAACATTGAACATCAATCAGGCAAATTACTTTGAAACAAGTGAGACCTTGTTCAACGCTCATCTCGAGCTCTCTCCCAACCACCAGCACGACAGGAGAGAGAAATGCGTCCTCAGTAGTGACATGGCTCCCTAGGGCGTCCATAACACGATGGCGCAGGGTATACTCAGATCAGCTTAGACAAGGATCTGCCAATCCTAACGAGGTCGAAAACTTGATTAGCAGTTCCTAAGCCAAACAAAACCGTGAAGCCTGGTGTGCTTGTTGCTTCCTGCGATCGTCTGTCCCCCGACCCCCGCACAATCCCAAACCGATCAGGGCCAACGAAACCAGAGCCCAGTCTGTATGTACCCACCACAGACTGAGGTTCATCACTTCCCAGTCTTGTCATCCAGAGAGTGTGTCGCGTATCAGCCTGGTCTCGGGTTGCTAGCAGTGTGGTATCCAGCTTTTCGACCATTGTCTCGGTTCAAGCCAGCCAACATCCATACTCTTTACTATCGTTTCAACAAGCAGCAAAACGAAACATACAGGTAAGCAAGTAGTCCCAGTCTTCAGTTACTCTGATGACAGTCTCTGACCATGGTCCAACTTCTAGAAGCGGCGCCAAGGGGATAGTGGAGGTATCCACGCGCTGGATGAGACACACTGGTGCTTTACAACTACCCAGAGCCCGTCGCTTGGGGCGGGGTGGAGGAGCCACTACATGGGCTGATTACTGCTAATGACCTCGCCAAGTCAGCCACATTGCGCCTGGAGAAGAGGAACAACGGAATATCCGTTTGCTTTCGTCCGGATGTCATCATGATCGGGCGGTGATGGCTGGGTATTAAAAGCGCCGGGCTTTATGTCTCGGATGCTGCAGCAAACGGCCAACTTACGGTACTTCTGCACGGTGAGCAAGCCATGCCAGCACTAGGATTGCGTCGGACGATCACCTCGCAAAAGGCAGGCATCGAAGGGCCGTTGTATCCGGCCAGAATCTGGTCTCCCATGTTCTGTTCCTCCAGGAACCACAAGGTATAAAGTCCCGGGTGCTTTCCCGGTCCTTCATAATGCTAGACATCATCTTGATTTGCAATCTCGTTTCCATCCTCATTCAAGCAGCGCTTACCTATTCAGAGCTGTGAGCCATCATCATGAGCGTTGAGAATCTTGAAATGGTGGCTAGGTTGGTGCTTAGGTGTCTTCGAGCGGACCCTCGTAGATGGAATTCGAACCTCATCATCATCGGACATCTGGCTATTGGTCGCCAACTCCCCGGCTTCGAAACCAGACTTGACCCTCTTCTCAGGAGGATGCAGGAACATGATGTAAGTCCAGACACTCCCTCACAGCCGTCATTCGTACATGGCCACGCATCATTACCGCCATCACAGCGATACGCAGTGGAATTCCTTCTCGAGGATAGGGGAGATGGTATCAACAACACCCTTCAGGATGTGCAGTCGACGCTCAGGGCACAATTGGCACGACTACGGCCCACTGAGTTCCGCCTCGTGGGCGACCGGCTGTGGTACCAGCACACTGAGATTAAGTTGCATGTTGTCAGCAGGCCTCAACCAAACTTCCCGACAGACCACTATCTCCATCGACCGCTCCTAAACCAGGTAATTGGAGAGATGCGGCGAGCACTCGCCATCCAAATGCACCGGCCGCTTTCATATGCATCGGTGGAAACGGCGCTGACGATCATGATCGCGCGGTGTACGAAGAGGCGCTTGCTGGCGGGCGAGACAAGCCACGCGATCGCAAAGGACGTCGAGGCTTTGCTCAGTGCTATCGCAATAACGAATGCACGGCAGGGTGTGCGGGGACGTGGGGAAGACCGACTTCGGTGGACGGTCTACCACACTCGGGCTCTATACCCCTGTCTCAGTGAACTTCAGAATCTTCTGAGCTGGAGAGGCCCCGAGGGCAGAAAAGAGCTCAAGTCGAGATTGAACAATGATTGAGGAGGCTGGGGCGTCCGTGATAGCCGTTACTTGGGAACTCGGCCCTGCTTCTCCGAATATGATTGAGCTGTCATTGCCAGTTGCTCAAGATTGATTGGATCCAATCACGGTGGCTAATGAGAAGGGGGTGGGGGCATCTCAATGATCGGGGTAGTGTCAGTTCGGAGCCTGTCTCAGTGGAGTGGGAGTTGTGTCGTAATTCAAGTTCTACTATTATTTATGTTGATTTTGGCTTGTCATTTCCATCCGTTCATCATGCACGATGCCGATTGAGTAATTCAGGATCCGACGGACTATTTAGATGAAAGCGCAAGACGAAAAAAACAAGAAAGTAAAGAGAAACAGTTTGTTACTTAGTACAAATGTTATTGACTTCAGATCACGAGTTATACGTTGAGAAAAGTGAAACACTGCCCACGAACATTGAACAACGGTAGACCGGGGACTGTTTACCGAAATTCGTCCCGCAAAGTCCAGGTGGTTGGCACATCAGGTTCGAGGCGCTTGATCTTGGGATTGAATGCATCGAAAGGGCTCTCAGGCAAGAGCCACGCCTCTGCCAGACGCTGAGCGAAATCGTCCATGACCTTGCCGTCGCGAGATTCCAGTACGTCAGGTCCCACCATGACCCTGCCAGCCCTCTGGCACCGGATCTGATAGGCCCTCTCCTCTGCTTCGAAGGCCCTCTCTCCTGTTTTTTTCCAATCTGTTGCTGGCATTTGGTCACATGCATCGTATGCATCGTCAAAGGCGGGTTGATCCTCCTCCATCCGCTTCTCCCATTCTGCGAGTTCCTCTTCGTTCTCCATGAGCTTCTCCCACTCTGCATATTCCTTTTTCTCTCCTTCGCTCGGTGTGTATTGAGGTGACGGCGTGCGTTGGTAGGATTCGCGTGGTAGGTGCACCGTCTCGAACAATTCTTCGAAGTAATCTCGGAACAGTGGCTGAAAGGCTGCCAGTCGAAGCCATCTCGGATCCAAACCCGTCACCTTGCTTCGCATGCGGAGGCGCTGGCCGTCCAAGGAGAACTGCCACCCATGGGGGTCGGCTTCGGTGAACTGGCTGTACCCAACAAAGGTAGGGTCGTCCTCGGGCCATTCCCATCCGCTGACCATCTTGAAGATCACGAAAAGATCGTCGTGCCAGTCGCTGAACGTGATCTGCGACGGTACATGTATATCTCGGTAGGCGAGGAGGATCAGCGCCTCAACTAGGCGGGCAGGTGAGATCATCTTGACCGCATGGCGACTGGGACCAAAGCAGACCGGTTCTGGAAGACGGCAGTCAGTGGACAGAACGTAGGAGCTGCGGGCATCCTCATCGGGAGCCAGTGTAGGAGCCGGTAGGTCCCAGAAGTAGTGCGAGTGCGTGAAGAGGTTGAGATCAACGTGACCTAGCTTGCCAGGCGTTCGATCGAGATGGAACACATGCGTGGGCAGCCACCAAGCTCCAATATTCCGGTGGTACTCGTGGTCGTCGAAGTACCGGCACCCCCAGGCGAGAAAGGGCTGCTGCTCCTGGCGGATTTGGAACTCCTGGACACACTGGGATTTCTCGACTTCAAAGGGCTCGATGGGACCGTCGTAGAACCCTGCCTGACGCAAGACTCGGACCGCCTCGTCCATGAGTTCATCCGGAATCGAGAGATTGATGCTGAGCACGTCAGTCTCACATCCAAAGAAACGGAGCATCATGTCACCGAAAAGGAAGTTGGGGATTCCGTTGCCCACCAGAAGCTGCGTCACCTTCCCAACGAACGCTTCGTTCACCGTCTGCCCGGTGTACTTGAAAGCGCCGGGATTTTCGTTCGAAACAGAAACATCTGTTTCGTCCATCTGCTGCTCGAACTGTTTGTGCTCCAGTGACTCGTCCGATTCGAATCCCGGGAGATACCATCCTTTGTAAGTGCCGTAGATGGAAGACATCTTGAACGATCTGGTTTGAACAAGATAGAGAGATGCGATAGTAGCAAGCTGATAAGGCTTGGTAGCGACTTTCAAGTAACCACGAGAAATGTCGGTATCCGAAGTGCGGTTGTGGGGATGAGACAGATACTCGAGAGGGGATTGATGGGTAAATTTATATGCATGGCAAGCGCAAGGCTATACGATCGGTATGTCCGATCTTGGCATGTAGATGCCGTAGAACGAGATGAACTCCTGTATTCACAAGGCTTCTGAATGTCTGGGATAAAGAAGGATTGCACGCATTGATGCCTTTGTTCTGTGCACACTTTGGCGGAGGTTGACTGGCAGTGAAGAAAGACTGTGGAGTTGATGTGCGGTGGGGGGTTGTTCTGTTATCTGATAAGATCCAGATCAGCCTAAACAATTCCTCAGTTGCAGACCGCTCTTTGTTCATTCTCTTTATTCTCTTCTTGCCTCCCTTGACATCGGATAACAGGAAACCAAAGCAACAGCATAAGGGATTTCCGGGTAAATTACCGTGCATTTGTATACTGCAGGGGCAATATGCGGTTGAGTCTCAGTAATCCGTCCACGCCGGCCATGAGCCGGCGGAATACCATGTTTCTCAACAATGCTCATCATTATCGCCATGGAACCCATCCCCACCTTTTGTCCACCAGGCACAAACCAAGAAGGCCCGTATTATGATCTTCTTCTTCTCTTACTCATATTGACGTGATTTCAGATGGCCTCTTGTGTTCCGTTTCATCAAAGGCGCAATCCATGCAGCCATTCTAGTGCCAGTTTTCCTGCACGCTTTGTTTACAGCTTTCGTGGTATGGTTAGACAAGGATGTCTTTGACACCGTCGGCCTTCCGAGTAGCATCGTGAGTTATCCTTCTTTTTCATTGTCCTTGTCCTGCGATCGAAGTGGGCCGCAGATCATCGCCACGATACCAACGAAACCGTACGACAGATCCCATCTTTGTCCATTGTCGTCGGCCTCATGTTAGTCTTCCGCAACCAGACATCCTACAACCGATTCTGGGATGGGCGCAATGGCATGAATACCATCAACACCTGTGTCCGGAACCTGGTCCGGACCATCATCACGAATGGGTACAGCCCCCGGGGCGCCCCAACGGCGGCAGAGAAGCAGGACATCGAGCGGACGGTCCGCATCCTGATGGCCATCCCGTTTGCCGTTAAGAACCATCTCCGCGCCGAGTGGGGCGCCGCATGGGCCTTGGGCAACGACGTCGCGGAGAATGGGGTCACGGATTTCAACCCGGACTATGCCAGCCTCCTGCCTGCGGGGCTGGAGGGCCATGAGGACGGAGGGCTGGGGCTCCCCTATCAGCTGACCTTCTTCGTGGACCAGTTCATCAAGCGCGGGGTCGAGCGCGGCTGGTTCCACGCCCCCGGCGCAAGCCAGATGCAGGCGCAGTTGAACACACTGACCGACGCCTATGGCCGGATGGAGACGATCAAGCTCACGCCTATCCCCGTTGCACACCTGTAAGTTCGACCGTAACCCCTCCCCGATGACACTTCCATGCCGCTCGTCTCCAAACAAGAACACCCTTGGCATTCACTTCCTCCACTAAATCACGGTCTTGCACATCCAGAATCCATCAGAAACAGGTCCTCGCCCTGTTCGGCTGCGTTCTCCCCTTCGGCATGGTCGACGACATGGGCTGGTGGACCATTCCGATGGTCAGCCTGGTGATCTTCACGCTGTACGGCATCGAAGGCATCGGCTCGCAGCTCGAGGATCCGTTCGGGTATGATCGCAACGACATCAAGATGGACGCCATCGTTGGAGACGCCAAGACCGAGGTTGACGTCATCTTGGATGAATGGCGCAAGACGATGGCGTTTATTGACGTCGAGAGATCGAACAATGTCCTCGGAACCGACCCCTCTGCTGGCGGCGATGCTGGGGTCACCGGGTTTGTCCTGCCTGAAATGTTTTTGAGGAGAGATGCGGCGATGAGTGTCGCAGCTTAGAGAACACCGGTTTTCTGGTGTGATTGAGGATCGGGTTTGGGTGGTTGAAGGGAGAGGGTAGGATCGAGCAGGAGCTTCCTGCAGTGGCGGAGCGGGAATCGTTGGGAGTTGTGGGTTGCACAGGACTTCCTATTTTGTATTTCTGTTGGTTAGTGGCGACGGATAACGCACATAAGCCATTTGAGGCCACGGACAGTACATAAAATATGGGCATATTTATGACTTATGAATTCATGTCACATGGAACTGAATACGACGTTTAAAGGCAGGGAGAAGTTAAGACCCAGCGTAACTCGAAGAAAAAGGAATCAGTGGCAACGATGGGTGTAACATTCCGTGCCACGATGGTTGGGTAGGCCGTGCTTGGAGACTTAACCATCGGAAACGAGGCATTCAAAGTTCAGTTACAGAGTAAGGAACAAAGGAGGAGCAGAAAAAGCGGACGAAAAACGTCCGTGGTGGAAAAGTTCTAGCCTGACAGTGAAGAATATCGATCAAGCTTTACCAGAAGACTATTCTACATCTTAGTTGATATTCATGACTCCTCCTCTTGAACGCCCCGGAGAGGACACCGCTCAGGAGAATCACAATGGCGCCTCTAACGTAAGGACTCCTTCCAAAATCGTATCAGGGTTGGCATACTCCAGCACCTTGGTCACGGCCCCCAGATCACTCCCATACTGCAAGCTTCGGTCGTCCTCGGGCCTGGCTACAACGATACGATGACGGAAGACCTTTTTCGCCGCTAGCGCTACAATGGAGGGGGTGACGAAGTCCAGGCCATGCAAGACGGCAAGTAACCTGCCGAGATGACGGTAAGCTAGGGATGTCCTTCCTCGTGCTATCATAACAGGCAAGGTGGAGGGGAGCACTAACCTGGAGAACGCCTTGAAATGCAGGTTTGAATGCGTGGAGATGCCACCGGCAACTGCGCGACTGAGCCGCAGAAAGACGATAATATCTTGCTGGTAGCGAGTGATGTCTGCCCCTACGGTGACAGCTTTGCTGGATTGCCGAACTTTGTCCAACAACTGCGGAGTTTCCGCATCAACTTGAAGTCCCCGGTAGGGGGAAAGGGGCGGGACCAAACATACCTCACGATCTACATGTGGATGACCTTTTTCCGGTTGGGTTTCGGACTTGCGGATCACCGATGATGCAGATACTTGTCCCTCTGAGAGCCAGTCGTTGTCTTCCTCGAGATAGACGTAGCCGTCCTCGGGTTCTTGGTAGTGGGAGATGAAGAGGTGGTCATTCTGGATACGTCTTAGCAGTGCCGAGAGACAGGTACGGTATGGTAGGGATGCCAAACCAAATGAGAATTCAACGAGGGTTGGCCTCGTCCCCCGGTGCGTGCTATCAACGGCACAAAGAGGAAGTCTGTTGGTGCTTCCCAGGTCCCAGCCTGCATGGACAGTCGCTTCGAGCGCATCAGCTAGTGGTTGAATGTTAGATTGAGCACATGCTGTGGTAGGTAGCAACTAGTCTTTGCTGACCTCGAGCACTGAGCGTTGAATCTCATCTCCGACGTGGTTGAAGTTCTTCGCTATGATGACATTGGGGATCTGGAAGGTTTGTCCAGGTGATCTTGACGATTTTGTCCGACCATTACCGCTCTGCGGTGTAGCTATTTCTGAGAGGAATGTGTCAAATGTGGTCGCGGAGGAACAGTCGACGAGAACCTGAGTCAGTCCAAAGGTATTGGAGCAGATCTGGTGCCTTGCACATTAGCCAGAGGGATTGAGAATGGAGAGTAGTTTGTAATTCACCAGAGCGAGCTCTTTAGCAACGTCATGGATATTGGTGTCGGTTGTCTCGACCCGACAATGCTCATGGACTGCAAGACATAAAAACAAAGCGACCTCTAGATCAGATAACTCTAAGGCTAGATTGCGGATGCTCACGTTTAGATCCATCGTACTTTGCATGCGTAGGCATCATGACTGCAGCATCTTGATGGGTTTGGGGGGGGGGTGGAAGAAGTGTAGTTAAAGCCTGAGGCAGCCTTCGGAAGCATCGATAGATCCAAGTTAACCAGTTGTCGGTCAGTTGGTTACAGCAGCGACGCTAATGACTCAATCGGGTTAGCAACTTTGCCCGCCCGACTGCGGCTGCTTTCCGGAAGGACCCTCCAGATGAACATCAACATCGTTCATTGCATTGTTCAATTGTTGTCATTCTCTCGGGCTGTTCTCAGTCTCTTGACCACCCTGTCAATGGCACCATCTAATCCTTTGGCCAATTGGGAGAGATTGGGTGATAGTTTCTATCGCAAGGTTCCCATCTATGATGCCATCTTCGATGAAGACATCGAATTAGAGAACTACATCATCGCTGGCGCTCCATACGGGGGAGCTATCGGTAAGGACATGCCTTGCTGCTGTGGACCGCGACTCCGTACTTATCATAATAATGACCCTCAACAGCACTGCACCGCGATGAAAGCAAGCCGTATCGGTTCCGTGATGCTCAAACGACCAAGTCGAGTATTGACATCTATTCGTGCTCCGGAAAGCTGATCAACCGTCTGAATGTAAGCATCCCTCCCTTCCCTTGACTAAGAGCTGGACTTCACTAATCCTCCTCACAGTGGGAATTTGGCACGATCCGGGGTCTCGGATGGTCTGATAGAGAGGAGCTCTTGGTCATTACTGAAGATGGTACGGTTCGTCGTTACTTTGGGCTCCATGGCGATTTCACTTCTTTTTCTCTCGGCAATGTGAGTCTCCCCGGCGTCGATGGTCCGAGCTCTGTTCAATCCTGACGTTGGTTCAGGGGGCTGAAGAGTACGGTGTAAGGGGGTGCCGTTTCTGGACTTCTGGATTTGTGGCTCTGCTTTCGAACAATCAGCTCGTGGCCGTGTCAAATTACGACGAGCCTCGTCCCCGGCTCTTGGCCCCTTGTCCAGAAGGAGAGGTATCATCCTGGTCCTTGATCCCCCCGGCGTACACGCTCTCCCGCTCAGTCGAAGTTCTGTTGGCTGTTGATAAGACCGTCTACTTGGTCGATCCCACAGAAGCGGAGGACAAAGTCCTACAGAACGGACCGTTCAAGCATGCGAGCGTCTCACCAACCGGGCGATTTGTCGGACTTATCACTGCAGAAGGTAAAGTCTGGGTGGTGAGTAGCGACTTCCAAAGTAAGTACAGTGAATATGACCCGGAGTCCCGAGTGACACCCAGAACTGTTGATTGGTGTGGAGATGATGCTGTTGTTATTGCATGGGAGGACGAGGTACATCTCATTGGACCGAATGGGGTTGCTGCTCGGTACGTCACTAGTCATCTTATTTTGCATTTGCTCCAGCGATGCCAACCAGTACAGGTATTATTACGATGGGACCGTTCATGTTATACCGGAATTCGATGGTGTACGACTCATCACGAACGATACATGCGAATTCTTGCATAAAGTCACTGGTCTGTATCTCCATACCCTCTTATCGACAGCCACTGAGACCCTGGGTCAGATGTCACGGAGGCCATCTTTCGGCTTGGTTCTACCTCACCGGCATCAGTGCTCTTGGATTCTGTAGACCTGCTAGAGAAAAAGTCTCCAAAAGCCGATGAAAACATCCAACGTATTCGCCCAAGTCTGCCCGAGGCAGTTGACACCTGCGTCAAAGCGGCGGGCCAGGAATTTGATACGCACTGGCAAAAGCGTCTGTTAAAGGCAGCCTCTTTCGGAAAGTCGGTGCTTGACTTATACAACAGCGACGAATTTGTGGAAATGACGGAGAAACTGCGAGTGTTGAAAGCTGTGAGGGACTATCGGATCGGATTGCCTATATCTTACGAGCAGTACATGCGCCTCACGCCTGAGCGACTCATTGAACGCTTGGTGAACAGACATGAGTACCTTTTGGCGATCCGAATTTCTGAATACCTCGAACTTGCCGCCGACAAGATTTACGTTCATTGGGCGAGCCAAAAAGTCAAAGTCGCCACGGGAGATGACGAGGCCGTATGTAAACTCATTGTCCAAAGATTAGACGGAAAGCCAGGCATATCGTTTGAGTTGATTGCTCAGACGGCTTACGACGAAGGGCGCGTGCAGCTCGCAACACAATTACTGAACCACGAACCGCGGGCCGGTAAGCAGGTTCCGCTATTACTGAATATGGAAGAGGATGAGATTGCCCTGGACAAGGCAATTGAGAGTGGGGACGTCGATCTAGTGAACTATGTCCTTCTGCATCTTAAGACAAAGCTTCCTCTGGCGAGCTTTTTCCGAACAATCAACACCCGTCCTATGGCATCTGCTCTTGTGGAGACCAACGCCCGCTCACAGGACACAGAATTGCTCAAAGACTTGTTCTACCAGGATGACCGCCCCATCGACGGCTCGAACGTACTTCTTTCGGAGGCTTTGAACGAGACGGACTTGCCGCGGAAGACAGAAAAGCTTCACCTGGCATCCCGTCTCTTGTCAGACTCGAAAGATCCTTCGGTGGTCCTGCAGCAGAAGCTACTGTCGGAGGCCTCACAGCTTTTAAAAGTACAGGAACTGTTGGACAAGGATCTTGCTGACAGGACCGAGTTTCTAGGCTTAAGCTTGAACGAAACGATATTTAGGTTGATCCGATCAGGCTACGGCAAAAGAGCACAGAAGCTCCAGAGTGAATTCAAGATGCCAGAGAAAACATTCTGGTGGTTGAGATTGAGAGCTCTAGTCGCTAAGCGAGACTGGGGCGATCTGGAAGATATCGGTAAAATCAAGAAATCCCCCATAGGGTGGGAGGTAAGACGAATTCACGACCCCGCGCCCTTGAAGCATGCATATACTCACCAGACTCACAACAGCCTTTTTACAATGAAATCCTGGGAGCGGGGAACACGAAGCTTGCCTCAGTATTTGTCCCCAAGTGCACCAACCTGCCATCAGAGGAAAAAGTGGAAATGTGGGTGAAGTGTGGGATGATTGCCAAAGCAGGCGAGGAAGCCTTCCGGGCAAAGAATCTGAATGCCCTTGAGCTCCTGCAGACACGGGCGTCCGGGCCAGCCGCCGCCGAGATCGACCGAATGATCAACCAGCTGAGGCCCAGGAAGTAAAGATTTGGTGCAACCCCAAAACTTTCTCCTGCGCAACTGGTTCAAGTGATCTCGTCATCCTCATCGTTGTCGGCATGCTGATCGGTGACCGGGTTCTGAACGGCAAAGCTCGCTTGCTTTGCAGGCTTGCTTTTCTTAACAGGGGCTGAGTCATCCATCATGGCGTCGTCGAGGTCATCGGCCTCATCGGCAAGAGTTTGGAACATCGTCTTTGACGCCTTGCGGTTCAGATCCTCCCATTCGCCCTAGATTTATTACATGTGTGAGATTGTGCGCAAGGGGCCAGGAACGATAGCTGAACACATACCCTACGAGCTTTGACAACTTTGGCACGGTTGACACTTCGGTTGACTTTGTTCTCGAGCTGATCCATGACCGCTTCTGCTTTCTCCATTCCTTTCTGCTGCCTCGCGCGCTGCGCCTTAGTCAAAGGCTTCGACTTTGACTTCTTCTTTGAGACGCCAGCATTTGCTCGATCGGCCAGAATGGATTCACGCTGGACTGTGGTTTCTTCCGCGCGAGGGAGGGTGGTCAACGACTTATCGAGATCGAGACTGGGAGAAGCTGCCCGGCGGGCAGCTCGGGAATGTTTCGACTGGGCTATAGTAATGCGATAACGTTAGAAATGAACTGTAACTTTTCCGAAGTGCTAGAAGCGCAGCGCAGCGCAACAAGTCATATACTTACGTCTCGACTTTGCCATGGTGCACACAGCAGAAAATACCAAGTGAGCCCGAGCGATGGGAATAAATTGTTGTGGAGACGGACGGAGACTTTCTTTTTCTTTCCTTCCTATCGATAAAACCTTTTCCGGCTGGCGGTAGTGACCCAACGCGCATTCCGCCTTGCGGCCTGGCTTGTTGTTCGGCCGCCCATCCATTCTGCTGGCACTTACTGACTGACTGCCTTTTGGTCCTCGCATCAGACCATCCTACCTGTCTTTACCTTTGGCTCTGCTTGCCTTTACTGCTTACTGCGATATGCTTATAGCTCGGTCCCCATGCCGCAGCTTTTGACTTTCTCTCATCAGCCATGAACGCTCGCAGAGAGGGGATTGACTTCTCCACTCAGAGACCCTTCAGCAGCGTGCATTACAGCAACTATGACACCGCTTTCCAGCATCTGCAAGGCCACTCCAACTTCACAGCCGGTGTACTAGTGACCATCTTATCCGTATACTGTATCTTCAACTATTTCGGCTTCGTTCCCTTTTCGCTGGCCCGTTTCGCGTGGGATTTGACCGTCCGCTTGACCCCGTTACGACTGGTCGCCGCCCTCGACTCCACGAGACCCGACCCAGAGGACTCCTCCTCGTCGACGTCGATGAGCTTCGAAGCGAAGAGCGAAGCGATGAGACGAATTCTCGGGCTTGATAATGGATTCCTCTCCGCCCTCCTGCCTCGCGCGTCGACCTTCTCGGGCTTCAGCACGTCGCTCCTGAGCGGCAGGGACAACTTCCCACCCGGTCTGGGCAACTGGGACAACTCGTGCTACCAGAACAGCATCATCCAGGGGCTGGCATCCCTCCACTCGCTGGAGGACTTTCTGGACAGGAACCTCGAGCGACTGGGCCAGCGGACCTCGGTTTCCACCCACCAGGCCCTCAAGGAGATCATCGAGCGGCTGAACAGTCCGGAAAGCTACGGACAGCGGCTCTGGACGCCGCCGGACCTGAAGTCTATGAGTAGCTGGCAGCAGCAGGATGCGCAGGAATACTTTGCGAAGGTGGTGGATCAGTTGGACTTCGAGGTGCGGCAAGCGACGCGCTGGCAGACGCGCAACCTCGGCCTGAAAATGGCTGGGCCGCAGGAACATGTCATCGGCACTGGGGATCGAGGGTCGGTGCAGGCGGATCACGCTGTGGATCTGCGGTTGGCCGCGGAACCCCAGCTCGTTGGAAACCCGCTGGAGGGCCTCCTCGCGCAGCGAGTCGGTTGTATTCAATGCGGGTGGACGGAGGGACTGTCTCTGATTCCGTTTAACTGCTTGACGGTGCCTCTCGGGCCCAAGTTCGAGTACGACATCCGGGAGTGTCTTCATCAGTATATGCATCTGGAACCAATCGAGGGGGTGGAGTGCGCCAAATGTACCTTGCTGCGCACACGGAGTCAGTTGTTGAATCTGCTGTCCCAGATTGAGGAGGAAAAGGGCACCCCGCCGACTAGTTCTGAGTCCCAGACGGTTTCGGCTGCTCTCAGGCAGTCGGCCCGGGAGCGTCTGCGAGCCGTGGATGAGGCCCTCGAGGAGGAAGATTTCACGGAGAAGACGTTGTCAGGGAAATGCCACATCCCTTCGAAGAGCCGGGTATCGACGACCAAGTCACGCCAGGCCGTGATTGCCCGACCTCCTAAGTGTCTGGCTGTTCACGTCAACCGCAGCATGTTTGATGAAATGACAGGGATGCTGCAAAAGAACTATGCTGCCGTCAAGTTCCCGACGACCATGGACCTGAATGAATGGTGCCTGGGAGGATTGGCCCAAGATCGAACCCACAAGGACATAGAGCAGTGGGAAATTGACCCTAGCATCTCGATGCTGTCGCGGGGTCGCGGTGACGATTCCTCGCGTCGACTTTACGAGCTGCGAGCCGTGGTCACGCATTATGGTCGCCACGAGAATGGTCATTATATCTGCTACCGCAAGTACACGACAGAGGTTTTCCCGGCTCACGTACCGGAAGCCGTTCTCGAAGCGGACGGCGGCAAGGAGAAAGCCGAGCGATGGTACCGCCTCAGCGACGAGGACGTGCAAATGGTCAGCGAAGCGAGCGTCATGTCCCAAGGCGGTGCCTTCATGCTGTTCTACGAGGCAGTGGAGCCGAGCTCGACTGGGAGCGCGGACACGGACGAGCTGGCCTCGCAAGAAGGCGACCTCTCGCCGTCGTCGATATTCAGCCGGCCGCCGTCTGACAGCATGTCGGCTACATCAACCACGGGGGACTCTGTCTCGGACAGGTCGCAAACAACGAGCGTCACGGCTTCGCTGCCGGTCGAACCTCTTGGCGAGAAATCTCCGTTGGGGTCGGAGGTGGATTAATGGACCCATCCTACCTGACACCCGAACCTATGTATATCAGCGTTATGTGATACCCCCTCATGTGCACAACTCATTCTCACGGCGTTTGAACTCCTGTCTCTCTTGGAAAAAGTTTCCTTTCTCGTTCTTCTCTCATTGGACCGTGCTTCAGCTGCATGATCTGTACAACAATGCTTGTATTTTAGGAGGCCGGTGGGCGATTAGGAGGCTCGAAGATTCTTACATCCATCCCTTGCTTGACAAGGACTAAGCATGCTAGATCTAATGATATGTTCGCATGGCATTCACCTTGCACCTTTGCCATCATAAATCCAACAACCTTGTACAATGTCGTAACAACCGCCAACCCACGCGATGCCGACGATATGCTGTACAGTACTAGGTACTGTACCTCGCTACCCATTTTGCACCACCAACGCCCGCTATAGCCAATGTACTGTAGTCCAAAGTGTTGACTCTTACCTTCCGCCCTTTACCCAAAATAAACGCCACATAACATCATTCTCATCATCATCATCATCATCATCATCAAAAAAGTCCCGATCGCTGGAACCCCAGCCATGGCCACGACCACGGCCACCCACACCATCATCATCCCACACTTGCAAACGCCGGAGCGCGCTCAAAAGACCCCCGCGCGCTGCATGACCTCCCGGAATTGGCCCAAGGTCACTCCCGCCGCCACCCCGGCGCCCCCGTTCGCCTCGAGGATCATATCCCGCAGCAACTGATCATCCAGGTTCCCGTCCTCCTTGAGCTCGCGCGCGATCCGCCGCAGATGGTGCAGGGTGATGATGCTGCTGCTGCTGCTGCTACCGGGTCCCGCGCCGGCGCCGCTCCCGCGCGTGAAGAGCCGGAACGCCGCATCGACCTCGGCGGCCATGGCCTCGTCGGACCGGGAGCGGAGCTTCGCGGCGGCGACGGTCAGAAACGGTTCGTAGGGGACGTAGCCGGTGTCGGTGGGGTCGAGGGCGGCGAGGATGGGCGGGAGTTCGGGGGTGGTGGGGGGGAGGCCTAGTGCTCTTTTGGATTCGTGAAGTAAGTATACTGGAACATGCTCCCCAGAATCGAGAAAACCGGAAGGGTAGAGTAGGGGAAGGTATGGTAGGTATGTACAGTACATACGAAAGTGCTTTCTTCACATCTGCCACCGGGATCACCCCTTCCTTCTCGTCGGGAAACTCGTCGACTCCTTCGTCGTCGTCGACCACAAACAGGTGGAACACTTCTTTGATCTCGCTTTCTTCGGCGGCGGTGATGTCGTTCGCCTTGGCGAGTTTGGATTGTCGCGCGCGTTTCGGGGCGGAGGTGGCAGATGCGGTGGATGGTGGGGGGCCGCGTTTTCGGGCTTTAGGAGGCTGAGTTCGGGGGGTTCCTGATGTTAGGGATTGGTGTTGGGGTGGTAGTTGGGTTGGGAGAGTACGTTACCATGTTGGAAGGAGGGTGAGGTGGAAGAAAAGATTGCGCGGGCGCAAACTTGGAAGTGTAATGGGAATGAATATTCAGTAGAATTGGAGTTGGAGAAGATGAGGAGATGAGGAGATGATGTCAATGTCAAAGAAATGCCATGGGCGCGGGGGAGCTGCTGATTGGTGGAGGTGTTGAGACCCTTGCGGCCTTAGGCTTGCTTCACTTCTTTCCACTCAACTCAGGGACGGACTTAACATAGAAGCTATTACTACTACCTTTGAGGCATTGACACTAGACAAGTTACCTAGTACTAGGTACAGTACACCTGACTACGCTGTGAGTCTCGACCTGAGAATCTTTCCCCTTCCATCTCGTGACTGCCTGCGGCTGACGTAAACGCAAGGATGCCTGCTCGGATCTACACACCTTTAAAAAAGAACAGAACAGAACGAACAACCAGCACCATTCACAGAGTCCTGTCTACCAGTCCACTCATCATGGATGTTGAGCTGTACGTCTATGACCTCTCCAAGGTGGTTCTATTGATTCTGAGTCTTGGTACTGTCCACAATACTGACTGGTTCTCCCACAGGGTCTTGCGCGATTGGTAAGTCATTGTCGCTCAGCAGCACTTGCATCGTGTCTAATGCAAGCATCCCCCCCCCCCCCCCCCAGTATTCCATGCCCTTGACCGGCACCCAAATCGATGCCATCTACCACACCTCGCTGGTCCTCAATGGGATCGAGTACTACTTCGGCCAAGGCATCCAGACGGCTGTCCCCGGTAGCACACACCATGGACAACCGATGGAGAAGCTGCATCTGGGCCAAACGGAGCTCCCCCTGGATGTAATTGAAGAATACGTTCAGTCCATGGCAGAAATCTATACGCCCGAAGTGCGTTGCGTGTGTGTAATGCAAGAAAAATCAACAGCTAACATCCTTTTTCAGTCCTACGATCTCTTCCTGCATAATTGCAACAACTTCACCCAAGACTTGGCCATGTTTCTGCTCGGGAAGGGCATCCCGGAACACATCCAAAACCTCCCGCAGACCTTTCTGAGCACTCCCTTTGGGCAGATGATGAAGCCACAGATTGAAATGGCCCTGCGTGGTGTCACTCAAGGCACTGGCACAGACGGTGCTCAAGCGTCGTCCGCCTCCAGACCACCACCACCACCAGCAGAAGCAGCAGCAGCAGCGACCCCGGCCCAACAACCCTCCTCGCCGCCGGTTAGCCAGGGCGTGGTCCGAATGGCAAGCAGCCTTGCCCAGCTGGAGCAATACCTCACCGCCGCCTCCCAATCATGCGCTGTCATCTTCTTTACCTCCGCCACCTGTCCCCCCTGCAGGGTGGTCTACCCCATGTACGACGAATTGGCCGAGGAGGCCGGGGACCGCGCCATCCTCATCAAAGTCGACATCAGCACGGCGATGGACGTCAGCACGAAATACCGCGTGCGCGCCACGCCCACCTTCATGACCTACCTCAAGGCCCAGAAGGTCGACGAGTGGTCCGGCGCCAACCCGGCGCAGCTGCGCGGCAACGTGCGCCTGCTGCTGGAGATGGCCACCCCGACGCACCGTCACCGCCAGCTCCATCTCCCCAGCTTCCAGCGTCACCTCCCCAACTACGTCACCTACAAGAAGATCCCTCCACTCGACAAGCTCCGGCAGAAGCTCCACCCCCACACCGACGACTCCACGCTGACCTCCATCCTCGACTTCATCCAGCGTCGCTTCATCACCACCCGCCCTGACTCTACTGGTGCCGCCGCCGCCGACGTCGCCCTACCCGCATCCCTCCCAACCTTCGGCCCCTACCTCCAAACCACGTTAGGCACCCTCACCCCGGAGAACCAATTCGCCCTGGTCGACCTCGTCCGACTCCTCTTCCTCGATCCCAGGGTATCCGGCTGGTTCGCCGCCGAAGACCCGCACCACGAGCTCCTGCGCACGCTGCTGTCTTCGACCAACACCGCCGCCGCCACAACCACAACCACAACCCCCTACCCCCTCCGGATCACCCTCTGCCAACTCGCCTGCAACCTCTTCACCACCCCCCTCTACCCGGACCACTTCTTCGCCAGCTCCCCAAACAACGACCCGCAACTCCTTCCCCTCCTCCTCGACCTAACGACCACCTCCCTCCTCGACCCGCACCCGAACCTCCGCATCGTCGCCGCCTCCTTCGCCTACAATCTGGCCGCGCACAACCACAACGCCCGCTTCGCCGGGCGGCCCGACCCCCTCCCCACGGAGATGCAGGTCGAGCTCGTCGCCTCGCTGGTCGAGGCCCTCGACCGGGAGACCCAGAGCCGCGAGGCGGGGCACGGGCTCCTCTTTGCGCTGGGGCTGCTGGTGTATGAGGCGCCCGAGGACGGGGAGGTCGTCGATCTCTGCAAGGCGATGGGCGTGCGCGAGATGATCGCCGCGAAGAAGGGGATCCCCGCGCTCCAGGGCGAGGAGGCGCTGCTTCGGGAGGTTGGGGAGGTGTTGCTGGGACGGGGGCTGTAGTGTTTCTTTTTCTCTCTCTCTCACAGAGAGACGCTGTATTATGCTCTGGATTAGATCATCTCCTTCTCCTTGATCATGGTCATTGTGGCGTGTTTGGTGCTTGGAGGGAGGGGTGGAGGAATGCATGACTTGGATACACTGATGAGTTAGCGACGTGATGGGTCAGTTGCGGTGAACGATTCAATAATTCACTGTACTCGGGTTCCCATCTCCATCTCACCCCGGTACTGTATACAGTCAGTCCTGCATTGTGCATTTCCAGATAACGACACAGCTCTCCCCCGCGATGCCTCGATAATCAGCAGCGAGAGAGCGAGCCACCGCTGGCTTTGCGAAGATAGGCTCCTACAACTAGAAGAAGACGAGATTAGGCCGGGATCACTCGTTGTCTTACCAAGTTGAATCTTAAATCTACCAGTGATAGTTCGGGAACGAAAGTAATAGATATCGTGTAATTCTTCATTTCTGAACCAGTTGCATCCTGGGTCTGCTATCCTAAGTTCTATCCTATCCAGCAAAGCAAAGCAAAGCAGCATTAATCGCTAGGGTATGGTTCGCCGAGCTATGCAGTTTCAAGCAAAGTAACGCTGGAGCTGTTCTGTGTAACACGCTCGGGGGTATGGGGCTGGAAAAGTGAAAAAAACAAAAAAAAAAAAAAAAATTAACGGATAAAAAAGAGGCATACATACATGACGGGGTATCTAATCATCCGACGGACGCTTCAAGTAAAGACGCTTGTGGGCAGATGATAAAAACAAAACATAAAAACATAAAAACCACAAATCAGGTAATCCAGCTGATGGTGAGGAAGTAGCGCTTTCTGATCCCGAAAATAGTAAACGTGGAATATTAAAAGCAAAAAAGCCCATGGGTATAAGTGGGAAAACATAGAAAAAAAAACAAAAACAGAAAACATGATTATGAGGTAAGAGCGAGACACCGCCAACACCGTCGCGACAACGCATAGAAAATGAAACAATAGAGATAGATGGTGGTGGTGTGTGGTGAAGGTCAATCTGGTAGATAAGGAAATTCCGAATAAAGTCGAGGAATGCGCGGCACCGATCGTTATCTCGCCTCATCGCATAGTCGTCTGGAACTGAAGTCCGCAAGTCCGAGTAAGAGTATCAAAGCGCATGCCAGTCAGTTCTCAATGAATGAGTCACCTCACTTGATCAAGGCAAGGTAGGTAATGCGATCAGAGCGTGTCCTGACAATGGCGGTGAGATCGTGCGGATTGATAGGCTCAGCCAGCAGTGCAAAGCCCTGTCCGGCGTGCAGGTGGGGGGTGGGTGGTTTAGGGTGTGCGAGCCTTCGGGGGAGTACGGGCGATAAAAGAAGTAACGAAGGAGGGGTTGCGGTTGCTTTGATTTTCGAATTCAATCAAATGCGCCGACAGCGAAGGGGAAATTAGATAATCAGGCAGCCAGCGCTCGGGCACCAAATCAGACTGCGTGGTTGGAAACTCCGGGCTCCAGGCTGTCAATTCCGCCCGCCGGCTACGGCGCGTAACCCCAGGCTTGCGCACGTGCGGCTCTCACTGTCATCATCGTCATCTTCGCCTTGTTCCCGGAGGATGGGAAATCCCCGTTCGAGAATAATCGGATGCAGCGCGCCTTGTGATGCTCAGACGCCTGAACTTCTTTCTGACTGGTCGGAAGGGAGAGAAAAGAGCCTGATCAAATCCAGATACAGAGGAGAAGGCGAAGAAAAAGAAAGTCGAAAAGCAAAACAAAGTAATTAAAAGGGTGTCGAAGGAAAAAGAAAAAGACCCGGATGCGAATCGCTGATCGCATATGATAGAGCCCAATAACTGCGGATAGATCGGCGCTGGTCATGCGACAGCCCTAATCTCCGCCAAAACAGACCGTGGGGGGGGTATCGAGAGTGAAACATGCACAAGAACGCTGAGATATGAGTTTGATGTTACAGAGAAGGACCCGGCGGGCACCCTCTTCCGGTCTCTAGACCCGGCAAATAGTTGCCTTGGTCCCAGAAGTAGTGCGTCTTTTCCGCTCGGGAACGGCCTTGCGTTTCTTGTTGCGTTTGGCGTTCTCGCGCTCGGTGGCTGCCATCTGGGCTACCCGCATCGCCTGCTGGGCTCGGGCATGTGCTTGTACTTGGGCCAGGAACCGCGCGCGCTGAGCATCCTCATCGGCTGCGGCACGGAGCATCTGGATCTGCTGCTCGGTCGTCAGGTCCATGGCGGGATCCTGTGCTGCGGACTCCTCGTCGATGGCGCTGTCCGAAGGCACATCGGAACCAGTGGGGAAGAGATCCTCATCTGACAGGTAGGCGCTAGCGGTCGAACCCTCGGAATCGGCACTCAGAAGCGATGGTCGGTTTGGCCAGGAGGGGAAAGCACACGAGTTGTTCAGTCCATAGCTGCTGGAGAAGGAGCACTTGCGGGGAGTGATGTCGAGCAGAGAGTCGCTGGGAGACGGAGGCGGTGGAGGCGGCAACGAGCTCGGCGAGCAGGAGCTGCCATAGCTGAAGCTGAAGGAAACCGTCTGGGTGCTGGTCGTGGCCTCGCTCAAGGAGGAGCGGACACTCGACTGGTTTTGACTCCAAGGAAGTAGGGGATA